AGGTTCGTATTTTTTATGGATAAAATTTTAGATTAAAGTAGATACAAATCATTGAAATTTAGAGTGACCTATTAAAAGTAGTTAGGATTTGTTATAAAATTTACGAATTTCTTACCAATGAGGGAATTCAAACTTGATGATTTTGTCGATCAAGATATGAATTTTATTTCCAAGCGCAGATATTTATGATTATGTGGATATTTTGAACTAGTATTCATTTGAAGTATGAAAAGTTTGAAATGGAATATGTTATTTCCATTTTGATGTGATTTTGAATGAATGATATTGTACTTATCAAAAGTAAATGTGTGTGTGATATTCCTATAGGTGTAGGAGATACTCAAAGGCCTTAATAAATAAGTGTGGTTATGACTTGTTTGTGGTGGCGTGAAGCAATATTTTGTGATGTTTATGGTGATGAGAGATGACAGTTCACGTGAGGTGAGAGATTTTATATTATGTGTTATACTAGTTAAGTTATGATTTGTCTTCTACCCTCAAAGAGTTAAATATTTATAGAGGCTCTTGGGTCTAGGGTTTAAGAAATCCTAAGAAGTAGTAATCAATCTCTCTTGAATGAGGGAGACTGTTGGAACCTATTTTCTAGAAAGTCATGGTATGACTTAACCTACATAACTAGTGTAAAATAATGGCAATGTACACGTGTTTATTCTAAAGGTGAGCACCCTTATTACACAAAGGTAGCACCCAAGCGACACCTCACGAGGCGATGACCCTTGTGTCACCCTTATTTGGAACTCTCACAAGTATTTCACTAAACAGTCTCTCAAGCACGAGGGCTTGTAAAAGAAGAAATGTTTTAGGCTTTTTTCGGATTTTTCCTCATGATCAGGGGCGACCCCTGTAATTGAACGCAATCTTCTTAATGAGAGGCGAGTCCCTCAGCTAAAGGTGAATCCCTCCGTTAAAGGATAATCTCTCAACTAAAAGCATTTCTTTTGATGGGAGGCGAGTATCTATCACTTGTAAGATGTTTCCTGGATAACCAAGTGTTAGTGGGAGATGTCAAGTTTCTTTTGATTGACCTTTGAAACGTCAAAAAGTCAATCAATTATGAAAGCTTGAGTGTTTAGTGGAAAAAGAGCATAGGTAGCATTTAATGCAACTCATGATGCAGTTCTTGAGAAAATCAATCTAGCCTATTTTCTTACATATATTTCCCATGTGTAAGAACTTTTCCACTCTTTGTGGCAGTTATCCCATTAGGTGGATATATTGCTTGAAGTAGATGTTCGTGAACAATTTTTAAATAAACAAGAGTTGATTGTTCGTGAACATATGCTACAATGGATCTGCATAGAGGCTGAAAAATTGGGTTTGGAGTTGTAATAGGAAGGTCTAACAATGGTTCTAATAGAAGACAAGAATTTGTAACAATGAGTTACGAAAGAAGTGGCACGTACCAACCACCCGTTTGAAAGTTGAAACGTGATGACACTGAATCTAGAAAATGTGAGTGTTCATTTAAATTGTGCGAATACCGTAAGGAGAATAATACATGTAAACTTAATGTGGTTTTTGGTATATATATATAATCATACCTTGTGTCACAAGCTAGATAATCGTCCAATTATATGTTGCCTTATTCCAGAAGAGAAGGAACTTTTTTTGAACATGACATTAAGCATGGTGTCGCTGAAAAATATACTTGCAACTTTGAAATAGAATAAACCTCAAAATGTTTTAAATATAAGACAAGTATAAAATGTGTGTTGCCGGAACTACAATGAGGTAAAAGGTCCAAAATCTAAAATGCAACAATTGTTGAAGCTTTTGGATAATGACTACTATATTTCTAGGTACAAAGTTTATAAGGATAAAGTCATTGTTCAAGATATATTTTGGATTCATCCTGATTTCATCGTTGTTCAACATATTTTCCACTGTGCTCATAACTGATTCAACATGCAAGACCAACAAGTATAGGTTTCCACTTCGAAGGAGAAGACTTTTCAGTAGATTTTTCATTTTTGAAATCCGAAAAAGAGGACAATATTACACGGGATTTGAAAATGTGCAAGACTATGTTGAAGGATAAAAAAATATGTCAAATGTAATTGTCAACAATCACGACGCCGCTTGATGAATATAGTGTTATATTTGTAAAAAGGTCTCACCTTGGGTGATGCCCTTGAACCGCCTTAAAAGAATCGACAATTGAAGGTCGTCCAAAGGGAGGTATTGCCTCGCCTCATAGGAAATATGGGATGAGACATTTCTCAGGTAGAGAGAAAGTCAAGGTCATTAACTGGCCTTCGACTTCCATGAAAATAGGAATTTAACTTACCATTATTGACTAAGTGGATAGTGACCTTTTTCGAGGAAACCCTAGGTCATATAGACCTCTATAAATACATATCCTCTTAAGGAGAATGGAAGATCCCAAGTAATTCATATTCTCTATACACTAAAGGAGCATAACGCTCATCAAAGTCTTAGTACACGATCGCTAGTAACCCTGCGCTTGATACCAAGCATCATCGGTCACTAGCAGAGTCTCTCACATCATGTGAGAAGGTATCCTAAATCACCTCAAAAAACCACTGTATAAGGCTTCTCACCGTCGTGGGCAAGTCCTCATCACCAATTCGTGTAATAAATCTACTAAGGCCTCTGAATCTTTCTTCCCTTGTAAGGAGAACATGCACACATGTACTTTTTGACCAATACAATAAATTTGATTGAAAAGGTGTTCCGACATCGTATGAATTATTTTGTAAGTATCACCTAACCAAAAATGTCAAAAGTCAACTAAAACATGTGGCAGACACCAAACAAATCAATGGTGAAGATGAAAAAATGGTCAAACATAATGTGGTGTTGGAATAGATAATGGATGCATGAAAAGAAATAATAAATTCTTCAACGAAAGAGTTATATGTTGAATCTGTAATACCTTTCAAAAGGGTGTGTGTTAGATATCCAAAAATTTTAAAATAAGTTAAAAGTGCTATTTTGGACCAGGTGAAGGAGAAGATTGTTTGTGTCTGAACTGATCAGGTTAGACATTTAGAAAATACAACTAACATAGTTGAATGTGCACATGCTACACTGAAGATTTGGTTGAAAAATAGTAAAAGTATTTTTTGTCAAGATTGAGACAACGTGAATCAAATGCTCTAAAACTAACATAATGAGATACAAAAATCATTTAGTTTGATAATTATTATGTTAGAACACTAATTCAAATTCAACAACATTTATTCACAGTTGGTTGGCAACATATTTCGGGTGATTGAATTTTATTTTTCACGAAGAAAAGCGATCAGATAAAACTGATTCAGATAACTCCAAATGTGGTTATACACTTAGAAAGACGTAAGGTCTTACGTGTGTTTGTTTAATTGCAAAGAAAATGAAGGTCAACCCACCAATACATATGCATGGGATTTACACTAACTAAAAAAATTTCGGTTTGATGATGATGGTGTGACGGATGATAAAATTAAACATGTATATCATGACCGAGTGAAAAATGATCTTAGAGAGATTCATGAAAGTTGATGGTGTAATGAAGGATGATAATGAATCATATTCTCCACCTTGCACTTGTGTATTTCAATGGTACAAAATCTTCCAGTTCAATTTAGTGTCTTCGAGAACATATCACTCGTTGATCTAAAATCCAAACTAAATACTTTTTTGCAATATTCAAAAAATCAAAGAGTTGTCAAACTCGAATATCGTTCACCTTCATTGACGACGAAGGAAAGATATCGTTCATCAAGCTTGAACTGAAGACAATTGCAAGATCAACCAAAAATATTCTAAAATGTTGCAACATTCTAAACCACCTGTTTGTAATGAAATATAATGTAAAATTTATGTTAACGATGATCTACGTAATGTTAATGTTAATTTGTGTTGTTTTTTCAGCATTCTACAATTGTTTCTGGCTTGACCTAACAGAACATATTTCGAAGATGCATTCTGAAAAATTCAATAAATTTTGCTTTAAGGATAAGTCTAGAGATACATCTCTGTTACGGAGATGCATTTCTAGACTCACCCTAATATTAATATAGAGATATATCTCTAGACTAAAATTTTCAAAATAAAGATAACAATTTATGCCGAAGAGTCTGAAAAAATATACATCCAAAAATACATTTTCGAATTTTAAGAATAATTTTGACATTTCACAATGATACGAAAGCACCCCATGAGATAAAGAAATCACTCCCTAAATACCAATTTGTCTACATTTCAGTAGATTCGTCAAATTCATTAATTCAAAACTGACAACATCCAATTCACTAATCCTAAATTTACATTAACATGCAATATTGAAACAATATTGAAAAGATCTCAGTCCCACATTAATTGTATAAAATCTTTATTAATTGAAGATAAAATCTTTACAAATCCATTCTCTAAAAATGAATTAGACCAAACTTTAATGGGTAAAACTTTTACTGAATCTAATGAAGTTTAAATAGAAATGTCATTAGTTGCGACTGAATTTGATAGGACAACATTTTAGTCGACTATTTAATAACACTACATAAAAAAAACGTGACTTCGCATCAATTATAACATAACTTCGACAGTAAGATTTGAGATTTCTTATAAATTACCATAAGCTAGTGTAGAGCAGAAGCCCAGCACATACAGCTTGAGACATTGTTTTCTCTGCACAAAATAGCTCGTAGGGTCACATTGTTTTTCTTTATTACATGACTTATAGCTTGGCTGGATTTAAGATTTGTGGATTGGATATAACAAAAACACAGTACATACAGAAAACAAGATTTTTTTTATTATTTATAAATTACGAAGCAACTGGAGAGTAGTAATAGCTGGAAAACTCGGATCTATCAGAGTCACACTTTAAACTGTGAAATCAAACACCCCTTAAACAGATCTCTCAGAGTCACACTTTAAACTGTATCAAATCAAACACCTTAGAGGTATGAAACATAACCAATTAGATAAATAAAATTACACCGTTCCTGCGACAAAGATTTCAACATCATCTATCATATGTCTGCAGTAAGGAAGTTATTTGAAATTGCAACCTGCAAAAGAAAAAAAAGAATTAGTGAATGACCTATGCAATAAATGCTACAGAACATACCAAAGCAATGACTCCTGAACACTCAGGAAAGGGAGAGAAAAATAGTACCTTCTCGCCCATTTTGAAGGTAGGCAGTCCCTTGTAAGGGCAGGTACTGCACCTAAATGCATCCCCTAGCCCACACTGTAGACCAAAGACAAACTTTGAGAGCAATGGCCATTGAAGAAAAATAATAATAATCTTACATAGCATAGTGAAGATATTGCCACACTAGACTGTAAATATTCACAAAAAGCAAATCATAGACTCTGCAAGGAAAACCCAGAAAATCACTGTCCAGGCTGACTTAAATCCAACCCATTCTTAGAAAGTCTTCTATAAATTATATCAACAGAACTTTATTTTTTGAAGTGGCAAGATACAATTTAGTCGGGTTTATAAAACCAGAATCCAAATTTTAAACAAGTCTTTTTTAACTAAGTTGAGTTACTCTCCTTATTTAAACTTTTGACATCAGCCCAGATACCACATGTAAATCAAGGGATTACGTTATGCACATCCAAGATTAGATACGCAACCTAGTCATTGGTTTGCGACACTGCGTATGCTGCTGCTGCTTTCGAAAAAAACTACAAAGCCCAAGGTGCTAGCCATCAGCTTGTGTGAAACAAGGATGAATCTAACAAAATGTAATGTAGAAAATCCTTGAACTTTGACAGGAGCAACAGATGAAAGTTCTGTAGGCAGAGAACATTTAAATGTACATATTTGCAAGGAAAATAGTTTGGTGGTAGAGTTTGATAGGTACTTATGGCATTGAGGGGTAAGATGTTGAGTTAGAGTGGATATGGGTTACATATATCATGGTAATATGTAAACAATCATGCTAATGATGGAATTGATTCAATATTTGTTAGTCAAAGTTTTTATAGTAGAAATGTTAGCTTTAGAAGATTCAGAAGTCAAAACCAGAAAAACAGGATGAAATCAAGGCAACTAGAAAAGTAAAACACAATAAAATCATGGATGCTACAGTAACATATTTAAGAAGAATTGACAAAACTATCAAATAGTCTTAACAACTATGTTGTCAGTTGCGAATGGCAGCATGGAGCAGCAGACGGGCTCCAAAACTGGATACTGGGATGGTGGCTATTTGAATATTTTTTGGGACACATTACATGATTAATACTTTTAACTTTTTTATACTATAACATATAAGAACTTTAAAAATGGGATGATACTATAGGGACCAACAGATTGATTTAACCAAGAAAGAAAAAAGACATACACTGCCACAAGCTGATTTAGGATTATTAATCTGTTCTGCTGTCAATTCTAACTTGAATACTTTTTCCTCTTCTTCTGCCCTCCCACATGAGCAATTTTTGCAGGCCTTTCTTGTAGTTCCAATTTCACAATCACCTATTGCATAACATGTTATTTAATAGCCAAATACCACACAGAATGCTAATAGAAGAATAAAGCTAGAGAAGTGCTGAAAAGTACTCTTTACCAGATGGCAGTTGAGGTTTCTTTAAATCTTCTTCAGACAAAAGACTATTTTCATCAATCAGATCAGAATCAAAATCAATTTGCACTTTAGGGGAACTCTTCACAACCTTTTTTAGTGCAAAAGATGAACCAATTTTCCATGAAGGCTTTTTAGCTTTTATCTATGGGCAATACAGAACATATTTATAATCAGAACTTCTAAGGTCGGAACAGAGTTAATTAGGAGGAAAATAAACTCTAGCTGACTCATGGCTTATACTCCACTTGACATGCAATAGGAAATTCAATTTGTCTTAGACAATAAATAGCATCATAAAACAACTAGCTGAAATTAGTGATTCTGCACAAAATGAAAAACCATTAACTACAGCAATGGTCGTCAAATACCAGTAGACTGGGTTTCATGAAACATGTAAGCCTATCACTCAACTCATTGGCCACATTTCTATTGTATTATATTCTGTTGCACAGCAGACAAGACATGACAAGTTTTATGAAACATTTCCAGCGCATTCTATTCTATTGCAGAAGAGTGTTTTAACTCAATTGCAGAACAGTTATAACATAAGAAAACAGTGGTTAATAGAGATGACAGGGAGATAGCTACCAAGAAATAAAACTTACCGCAGAAGATTGCAAAGCCTGGATTTCTGAAAACCCTGCCAATAACAACTTGTTTTCAAGATCAGGTATAGTCTGTAAGGACAATGAGAAAAATGTCAGATCATGTTCAACAACATTAATTCATTCAGGCATAATCTAGCTATTATTATTACCTTATCATCTAAACCCACAGCAGATTGGGAAGACTTGCGAATAAGAGTTGTCCCACCAGCTTTTAACACTCTAAGGACTTCTTGAGTCAGTTGGTTGATAGGAAAATCAAGAGACTTCCAGATTAAAACAACCAAATCCACAGAGGAAGGTTCCACTGGAAACTTGCCTGAAGTATACAATAAATAGATGGCAGAAATTGGTATCTTTGGCTATAATAAAAAACCACATATACGCAGCAAAGTGGAAAATCATGCATTTGAAAGAGAAATAGTAGCTTCCATCTAACTTCCTCCAACACCTGTGGATTGACTCAAGAATAAAAGGAAACACAAGATACAAGCAGTGTTATCAAATTGCGGCGCCATGGCCACAATGGCCGATATGAAATACATGGCGGTTTTTGGGCTTGCCGCAATGGTAAATATTGTCCGCTATTGCATGTTTTTCCGCCATAATCTGCAATAACGGCGCCGCAAAGCGGCCGGTATGGCGGGATTTTGGCTCCCCGTCATCGACAATATTGGATACAAGAACTGGCTCCATAGTCAAGTTTTCTCATAGACCCACCACCCCCACAAACTTCAAGTAGTAAAATCATTACAACAGGCAATTAAGTTGTTAATCTGTCGGCAATTTAACTTACACGATTTCCTCCAACATGAACCAATGAAAAAGGAAGTTAAGCTCTAAGTTTTCAAACAGCTTGACAGAAGCATTAAAAGCCTAAAGTATACACTTATTCAATAAGTGCTTGACAGAAGCATTAAAAGCCTAAAGTGTACACTTATTCAATAAGTGATGTACACTTATTTGAAGTGAAGTATACTTGCGGCCTGATTTGGTAAATCCAAACTTAAAAAAGATATAAAAAAATAGAAAGATTTATATTATTGGCACTGTTATAAAACTAAGTAAGCCTAATAGTTAAAAACAAATTTGACCAGCAAAACCATGATATCATATTACATAACATATAACATAAACAAAATAATCAAATTTGACCAGCAAAACCATGATATCATATTACATAACATATAACATAAACAAAATAATCAAAGGAGAGGTAGAATTACTCATTGATGACACAGATGTAATAACCAAAGGATCCAATTTCTCAACCCCTTCATCTCCAAGTTCTCTAATCGCATCAAACACTTGACTAACTGGAAGAACCGCTTCATCAGTACATGCCAACACACCATGAATTTTTGCAGCGTCCTATAATCACAATAACAATGATCTTAAATAATTCATATTACAAATACCAAAACACAAAAGCACTTTTCCCAAAGCAAAAAAAAAAGATGGAAAACAACGATTCGTATCATTTGGCATGTTCCCGTATTCAGAAATCAATTAAAATTCATATAATAATTTACAGATTAAAAATAATCGCTTAAAATCAGAAAAATTTGAAGATGTTAACGAAAAGCAAGAGAGAAAAATTGAAAAAGAGATACAGAGGAACCAACCATTGCGATGAGATGTTGAAGTTCAGGCAAAAGAGAAAGCGTGTATAAAAACCTAATAGAATCTTCGAGAATCGATATAGAGGAAGAAGAAGCTAAAACCGCCTCAGGGTTTTTATAAATAAAGCAAATGTTTATAGATTATTTAATAAATAAAATATATTATTAATTTATTTATTTATACATACTTAGTGATTAAATTGATCATTTATTTAAAAATATATATTTTATTTCTAAGCCCAGAAAAAACGATTTTTCCAAAAATCAATATTGGAAGTGACGTGTTCAGTGACGACGGCAGTGAGAACGCAAAAGGATTCCGGTAATGCGGCGCCGCTGGAGGCTGAGCGGTGCGTGATAATTTAGAGAATCGGAGTAAGAGAGAAACGATGGGAAGCACGTTTTGTCGAGTAACTTGCATGGTTAACAAACTCTCTTCAATGTTAGAATTGAAACAACTCCAAGCAATAATCACCAAATCAGGTCTTCAATCTCACATAGATTTCACAGCCAAGTTAATTTTCTTTTCAGCACTTTCTCCAATGGGTAATCTCTCTCATGCTTATTCTCTTTTTCAGCAATCCTCTTCCATTGTCAAGCACAATCCTTTTATTTCCAACATTATGATTCGTGCTTTTTCCAGAAGCTGTTTCCCTCTTCAAGCTGTGTATATTTATAACCAAATGCAAGTTACTGATTGTTTCACTTATAATTTTGTGATCAAAGCTTGTTCTAGAGCTTATAAGTTTATGCATGAAAGTGGTAGTGGTGCTTGTGATGATGATGTGCTTGTTGTTGTTTATAGTAAAGGGATTGAAATTCATTGCAGAGTTATCAAAGTAGGGTTTGAAAATGACACTTGTATTCAAAACTCTTTGCTTAATTTGTATGCTCAATGTGGGTTGGTCTCAGTTGCACGCCGCCTGTTTGATCAAATTAAGGATACAAGTTTGGTTTCTTGGAATATCATGATATCGGCTTATAATCGAATTAGCGATTTTGAATCTGGAGATAAGCTTCTTGAATTGATGCCGCATAAGAATATTGTTTCATGGAACACCCTAACTGGAAGATATATTAGGTTAGGTAATGTTGAGGCTGCGAGGAGAGTGTTTGATTGTATGCCTGAGAGGGATGCGGTTTCGTGGAATTCTATGATTGCTGGTTGTGTTTCTGTTCGAGATTATGCAGGAGCATTGGAACTCTTTTCTGAGATGCAAAATGATGGAGTAAACCCTACGGAAGTAACACTAATATCGATCCTAGGTGCCTGTGCTGAAACTGGTGCACTGGAGATAGGTCACACAATATATGAGTCTCTCAAAGTGTGTGACCAAAAGGTTGAAGGTTATTTAGGTAATGCCCTTCTGAATATGTATTGTAAATGTGGGAACTTGAGTTTGGCATGGGAAGTATTTAACGGAATGAAGATGAAAACTGTGAGTTGTTGGAATGCTATGATCATTGGTTTGGCTGTCCATGGTTATTGTGAGGAGGTTTTCCATTTGTTTTCAGAGATGGAAGAGAGTCTTGAAGGTAGTATTAGGCCAAATGGGTTGACGTTTATTGGTGTTTTGGTTGCTTGTAGTCATAAGGGGTTGGTTGATAAAGCAAGATGGTATTATCATCATATGGTAAAGAAATATGAAATTATGCCCAATATTAAGCATTATGGTTGCATGGTTGATCTTTTAAGTAGATGGGGTTTGTTGGAAGAGGCTTATCAGATGATTAAGAACGCCCCTTACCAAAATAGTGCAGTGTTGTGGAATACATTGCTGGGTGCTTGTAGGACACAAGGTAACATGGAGTTGGCTGAGATATCCTTCCAACATCTTGCCAAAGTGGAGAAACTAACAGATGGGGCTTACATGTTGTTGTCTAACATGTATGCTGAAGCTGAAAGATGGGATGAGGTTGAAAGATTGAGGAGTGAAATGCATTACTTGCATGTTCCTACGCAAGCTGGCTACAGCCAAATCGATATGAATGCCCAATAAGCTTTCCTGAACAAACCATTGGCCTTTGCTGAGTTATGTTAAAGACATTTTTTCTAGTCAAACGTGTGCCCTTCTATGAAATGAATATTCTTCAATTATGCTAAAGAATTTGTTGGCACGCAGGCTTTGGATGAAGCTGAGAATCTTAAGTTTAGTTACACCATCATCTAGGAGGTGTCAAGGAATGCCCAAAAGGTGAAGAAGGAATCATGGCAGTGAGGCACCAGTGAGTACTACTAAGCTGAGGTTTCATATCCTGAAATCACTTGTTCAAGATGTGGTGGTATCCAAGGCACAACGTCAAAGGCTGTGGTAATGAGAGGTAGCAATAAGGCCAAAAATATGGAAACTGCCTGCACAACCACGGACAGAAACTGATCTGTCAATCTCAACCACATGCTGGCCACATTCATAGCCAGTGAACCCCAAACTGAACCTCATCCTCAGGTAGAGCTATTAACACTCACAGTTTGCACTCACAATATACTATCATAATTGGAAGGGACTTATTGATGTTGCTAATATATAAGGAAATTTTCATTTTGGATTTGGACTAAGAACATTTTATGGACAAGCAACAAGGTTTGGCCAACACCTATCTGAAGAAACAAACACCTCTAAATTTGATAGAATTGTCATATATTGGTGGGACATCAAGATCCATGAACTTCATGCCAACAATGCTTCCACCTAAGGTTCACATCAATACTAGTATGGAGAATGATGAATGAAGCCTGATTATTGATGTTTGAAGACTTTTCTTTCTTTCTTTTTTTTGTTATTATATTATGCTAAGTGCATATTAATTACTAGAGTCTCTAAACCTTTGGTTTTGTCATATTTGTTGCTGTCAAACACATTAAATGCTGTGTTCAGAAAATCAATTTAGTAAACACAAGAGCGACACAATTTCAATTAAATTGTTTGTCATGCACCCTAAACCACATCTGCTCATTTACTTCAAAATGTTATAATATCCATTACATAAAGTACTGACAAACTGCCATAAACAACATTTGCATCACAAACAATGCAGATAAAAACATTTCATGAACCCCATGTCAACAACCAAACTGTCAATCATAATTCAGATTTGCTTTCCACATATAATCAATTGCATTATCTCTTCCAACCTCCGTTCAAATCTGTATTTAAACTCTCTTTTAGATGTCTCTGTTTGCGCTGCACCAGTTTCATCCCAATCATCTTCTCAAATAAAGTACTTGCAATTTCCATGGTCATCATACTGCAAAAAACATCCAAACATAAATTCCATAACATCAAATTCAGACATGTATAAAGAAATGGAAAATTGGATTTTTACCAACCTTGTTCAATGAACGAATACAGAATGTCCTCTTGGGTTCACCCGTGTGTTGATTCTGCATAAAAGATACCTTTTATCACAGTGGCAATGAGGTACATCCGAAAACCCCTCGACTCATGTTAAAGAGGATTGACTCCGCTCTTAGGTAGAGGCTTACTTCGCCTTCACAGACTTTCAAAATGGTGAACCACTTCTCAAAATAATGTACTACCTTCACAGACTTGGAAAATGGTGTACCGATTCCCATCCTAACTCTATTTCTTTTATTCCAGACTTAAATCAGAGCAACAACCAGGGAATAAGGGTTAGGGGTTCTTTCAATTTAAAGGACATTGGGAAGAAGATTATGTTTTAATTAACTGTCAGTTTGATCCTTGCAAGCATGGATAACAAAATGGGATGATGAAATGCCAGCTCTCGTGTCACATAAGCATGTGATTAGTAAAACAATTGACAGCTCACAAAACAAACAGAAAATATAAGATAATTGCCGGCATGGAATTAAATGAAAAACGGAATAATGCTGCAGGGACAGTTGTTATACCGCATTTCTATTGCAGGAAGTTAGTGTTTACTCCTTTAAAAGACCATGTACTCTGGCAATACCACACTATCTAAAAGTTCCGTTATATCACCCCCGTAACGGTCTGACACTACCCATTATATGTCTACATCAAAAAAGTCATCGGCCAGTGCTACCTGCACAAATTAATGATGACTTATTTAAAAATGTTACAGGTCATGCAAAAGAAATGACACCAAAAAACTAGAAGGAGGGAAAGTACCTTCTAGTCTAATTTGAACTGAAAGGGGAGGCCTTTATAAAGGCAGCCCGGTACTGCAACTGAAAGTATCCCTTAAGCCACACAGCAGACTAAAGACAACTTCGAGAACAATGCCAATTACAGGGGTGGTCTGAAATAGCATATAAAAAAGATTGACCCCAGGGTAACCCTTCAGAAAGAGCATATCACAGAATCTGCAATGGGATTGTATGCTCTTATTGCACATGTAATGTTTTTTTATGATATAATGCAACATGTAATGTTTTTTTATGATATAATGCACATGTAATGTTGACTAGAATTCAACCAGTCTTAGAAATTCTTTTCCCATGAAACCTGATTAACATTAATATTTTATATAGCTCTCACAATAACATAAATACATAATAGTGATAAAGAAACAATTTTATTGAAATGCAACATGTGAAGATACAGATTAGTTTTGGAATTATATAACTCAACTGCCGGATTTAGAAAACAATAAAACACACCCGTAAACTTAGAAAACTTGCTAATTTGAAAATCAACAAGTCAGCCGAGATTTAAGAGCTAGATTGAAAGAAATAGCACTAGTAGTAAATTAGCACTTTTTCCATTCTTAAGCATCTAAATCCATAGTACTAGAGCTATATTTAAAATTAAAAAAAAAGGAAAGGATTCACAGTGCAATGCCACCTCTTCTATATCACAAAATTCAATTTACCAATCATTTGAATTGAACAAACAAACAAAAATCTCTTTAACCAAATCACTTATAAGCAATAAAACTGCAAGACAGGAGTTTTTTTTATATAAATATGAAATATGAAATTTCTTAGAATTATGTACCTCAAAATGCACATGAGCAAAAATGTGCTGAGCAGCAAAGCCACATTCTACATATGGTACATACAAACTGTACATTGCAAAAGAATAAAAAAGACATACATTATCACAAGCTGATTGAGGATTGGTAATCTTTATGTAGTTATCAATGTAGATGAAAAAACAGCTTTTATGACGATAGGTATAAAGCTTCCAGATAATCATCAATGTAGGCCAAGCTAGGCCAATGATCTGTGCGAATACGAACTAAAGTTGAAACATTGCCAACTTCCATTTGGAAAAGGAGATGGAACCGCGGTGGAAGAAATATTAGAACAAGAAAACAGCCTAGGTTGCTTTGTCTGCTATTGATTATTACCCCCTTCTCATACTCTTCATTATTGTATGTAAGACGGAGTGGAACAGCATCATGATTTACAACTGCAGTGGCATCAGGGGAAGCATCTTCCCAAATAACATTCTGAATAATTCCCCCTTCCCATACAGCATCAATGAGTGGCTCACCACTCACACCTACAACAAAGCGTGCCAGATGGCGTTCAGTTGCCTGTATCAATGAGTTTGCAGGGACATCAAGAAGCTTGACAGATTGTGTTCCACTAATAGCAGCAATCCCTTTGCCTCCTTTCAATTGAAAGGTTTCCCGTCCAGTGCTCGAGGATGAGCCACATGCCTCCCACAAAGCAGTGAATAAGTCAAAGTTGTACTGAGGCCTTGCGTTTTCTTCGATGTCTGATGGAACAATGGCCTTGAGAAACATGTCTTCAATGCCTATTGTGATTCCCTGAAGTTGAGCTTGAATGATCTGACCATTTTCTGTATTTGTTTCAATGTGAACATCAACTATACCTGGTGTTGGTTCCCTGGGCTCCAAATCAACCACCACAGTAGCTCTATATTTTTCCTCTTCTCTGGATTCGTTTCCTACAGGAACAATACTGAGGGGGCCATTTTGAGATGCATGGTCTTTACTGTAAGGTTCACCAAGAAGAAAAGGTATATGAGAGGATGGAATCGATCCATATGGTGCAGAAGATGAAAAACGTAACACAGTAGCATATAGAGCGGGCAGTGCATCTATCTCTTCCTGAGCTGTGGCAGTGTTATTGATTCCCAACATGCGATTGAAAGTATTAGATTCAAATCTCAAACTGCATGATATGCTAACTTTGAGCCCTGCCATATATCTGAAGTCAGGAATACAGGAAAAGTACTTCCTTAGCGTGTTCAAAATTTCTGCAATTTTAGAGTCCATAACACGGAGTGGCTCATTTGGTTGATTTGTGCTTCCAGTTTCAGGAATGAACTGTGAATTGGAGCTATCAGAAAATTCATTTTCCTCTTTAGGGGGGTCGAGGTCCCTGATGCCCTCCAGATAAGCCGGTTTGCTATTACTCACGACTAAACTTGATAAAGACAAAGACCAAAACTGTTTAACAAGTAATGGGGTTAGACGCTCAAAGTGAATGCAGGATGTTAGGTTTTTAAATGTCTTGAATCTCTGAGAAGGTCGAGGTGACTGAACATTGAAGAAAGTGGTTTGGTGTGAAGAAGGTGAAATCCCAAGCATCGTGCCTCCCAGGCTCAGGATATCTCTAAGCTTCTTCCCCGGAATGCAGACCAGCATACGCAAGTAGGTCCTGAAACATACCAAATATCAGAAAAGTCAAGTAACCACATTTGCAGACCCTCTAAACTTTAGCCTAGAAAGCTATCTCTGACTTCAAGATATAATTCACAAACCAAAATTGAAGGGGACAAAATATGGAAAACAGATTACATTGAAAGCAGGAATACACAGTGCAATCAATACCTTGAATTATCACGGACTTCCAAATCAGGAAAAAAGAGACAAGTAAAAGCAAATAGACGAGATAGTCTAAGGAACAATCTAGAACTATGGTGGTGTACCAACATAGTTCGACAAATACCAAGGGCTCTACTTCCTTGGGACCAAGATTTCATTACTGTATCCGGGCCATGTTTCTCCACAAGAAAAATCATGAAGTTTGTGAGTAGTGCTATCAATCCACGCGGAGGTATTGTTAAATTCTCAGCAATTC